CAAAAGTTAAAATTTGAATAGCAAATGCAAAAGCTTTTGCATCATTTCTTCGATGCACATCAATATTTGCTTCCAAAATTGTCCTAAAGGTAAAGGGACCCCTGACCATTAGGTCCAGTCGTGGCCGACTCTGGGGTTGCGGCACTCATCTCGCTTTATTGGTCGAGGGAGCCGGCGTACAGCTTCCGGGTCATGTGGCCAGCATGACTAAGCCGCTTCTGGCGAACCAGAGCAGCGCACGGAAATGCTGTTTACCTTCCCGCCGGAGCAGTACCTATTTATCTACTTGCACTTTGATGTGCTTTCGAACTGCTAGGTTGGCAGGAACAGGGACCGAGCAACAGGAGCTCATCCCGTTGCGAGGATTTGAACCGCCAAGTCCTAGGCTCTGTGGTTTAACCCACAGCGCCACCCATGTCCTAAATTGTCCTAGAGCCTTACAAAAACATGGTACAAGACTGTATATTGGCACTGACATTCTAACACATTTTATTTAGAGTTTAGATGCATCTTAGCCTAAACAGTACAGCTAATTAAATAATAATTAAATAATAATGATTGCAAGTAGTCCTGTTTGTACCCAGACCTATGCTTATAACAGACCCATCAAAAACGTTGGGAATTAAATTAGTCATGATGGCTAACTGATTCCGATAGTTCTGCTTTAAGCATGACCAAGACTGGATCCAACTCATTATCTCATTATCAAGTGAGTAGATGACAATGAGCATTCCATAATGAATTTCTGGTCATGCAGAGCCTAACTGGGGGTGGGGGAGAGAATAAAGAAAAAAGATGAACATTTTTGGAACTCCCTACAGCCTGTTCTACACATCTTTAGATAAAGTTCATATACAAAACAGATGTTGCACTAGAGCATCAGACTTCCACTAGTACAAAAGAAGTTTCCTATCTTATCCTCTGTCACGGAGCCCCACTTCACCCTTAGAATCTGGCCCAGAACAGTTTATGTGGGTGTGGGGGGAGATGAGAGGAAGGGGAAGTCTCCAACCTTCTGTTTTCTATCGTGCCCCTGCTTCTTTTGGAAACCTTTTGTAAAGTGTGTGTGGGTGCAAATATATATCCCATCTTGATTAGCAACAAATATTAATTCTTCAAATTCAGTTGGACTTCTAAAAGAGTCATATTTCCTAATTAAAAATGCAATCCTGAACACACTTGCTAGTGACTCAGTTCCATTGATATTAATAGGATTTGCTTCTGAATATTTCTTTACTGAAAGTATGGAAATCAACTTGTGAAAAATGTGGCTTTATGTACACTGTGTTGGAATGATAGATATATAAATTATTTCAAGACAATGGCTATCAGTATAATTTACCAGAATTTTTTGTTATTCTTGAGATTTAGATCCTACTTTTCAAACACGTTAGCAGGGTCTGACCCCCACCCCACTCACCATTCACCCCTCCCCCTCTTTTCTTCAAATGAAACTGAGTTGTAGAAAACAAATTGAAAAAAGAGACAATGCACACATTTTTGTAAACTAAGAAATCTTTAATAAAAATATATATTTTTAAGAAATATTAAAATCACAATATTTCTAACTTTGCTCTTTTTCATATTTGTTTTTCTAGTCTTCTAAATAAATAAAAACAAATGCCAATGGACCTTAACAAAATGGAGCATGAAGCTAGTAGCTGCAATTCATTGTCCATAAGTTGCAATTGTCAGCTGTATATATATAAATATATATATATATATGTAATAAATATATATATATATTTGTATATATATATATATATATATATATATATATATATATATATATAAAAATTAATGGAACAACATTAGACCATGGGTGCAATCACTAGCACACTGACAGTGTTAGCCTATACATTATTATTTGGATGGAAGTCCCATAGAGTTCAAGGGGAATTTCTCTCGGATTCAGGGGAGATATTCCCAGGTAAGTGGATGTATTTTATTTGCTCTTGTTTATTTATATATGCCACCTTTCCACAGCAAGCTATGGCCAAAGGGGCTTACAACAAACACCCATTCATTATCAACAATCAATTTAGCAAACATAGGACAAATTCAATATAAGAAAAATACCTAAGTACAGAGCAAAAAAGAAAGTTAGCAGACAATGAAGTTCCAGATGCTAGTTTTATTGCACTCTAAGTAGCCTGGCTTAAACACCAGCCTAGATTATTTTAAGGTGTCTCCCTGATCTTTCCTCCAGAGGATGCTGACAACAACAGAAGAGAAATGTCGGGAAGGACAACAATTGTGAATCCTTTTTTCCAGTTTTGCAGAAGTTCAAGCCATGGGTGTAAGTCTTATGAATGATTGCAGTCCTATATATACACTTACCTGGGAATAAGTGTCATTGAGCTCAATGGATCTTACCTCTTGGTAGACGTTTGCACTGTAAACAAGAACATTAGCATGATGCACATGCTCCAGTAACCTGCATAGCACCTGGCAGAGCCGCATCTGAATGTCTGCTGCCTCCTCACACATTACATCTTAAGATGGTGGCCGGATGCAAACTCCATGACCTTCATCACAAACCAGCTCCCCATCATTCCACTCCCCGTTGCTCTATCTAGCCTTCTGGAGAACTCATAAGCTTGCACACTATCTTGGTTGCTTTAATACAGGTATTGTTCAAAGATGGATTTTGGAAATACAGTATCTGTGAAAATCATAATTTATTATTTCCTAGTCAAGTTCACACTTCAAAGCCCCCCCCCCCAAATTAGAAGGCATCCTATTGGTGATGCAGCTTGAGACCATGTCTTAAATGTAACTTAAGGGGGGAGAGAAGCAATCACCCTGTTCTGTCAGGGAAACAATGGAGAAACAGCAGGTTTATATTGCACCCTGAGCAACTTCTCAGTCAGTATGCAAACGACTGGGCTGCAAAGGATTAAGATCTGTTTCACTGAAGGCTCTCCAGCTTAAAGTAACCTGGGCTGCTTGAGATTTATTAAATTGGATGGGACATGATTCCAGCTGACTTGATTCCATTCCCCACACGTCTTACTCCTTAAATTGTCTCATTTTGCATTTTATGCCTAATACAGAATTGAAGGCTCCCTTTGGTGCTCAACCCAAACAAGTGATTGCAGGAGAGCCTGTTTCATATGCTATATTGACATTGCCCATGTAGAAGGCAGCTGGAAAGAAGATAGGGACAGAACTAGAATGAGTAAGCTCTGCCTATCATTGGCTCTGGCTCCACCTACTGTTAGCCTTTCTGCCTTCAGCCCTACCAGTCCCAATGAGCACTAGCCAACACACAGAGAGCTGTGTATCTTGCAGCTGCAGCAGCTATCTCTGGTCAATCACTTGCATTCTCCCTTTCAGCAGCACAGCTGCAAAGATTAGACATCCTCACCACTACCATGAGAGAGAGCACAAATGAGCAAATGAGAGGCATCTGGACAGTGCAACAAGGAGAATTAGGCCTGCTGGTGAGTGGGGAGGCTAGGAGCCCATCAAAGGTACTGCCAAGAGTCTTCTATAGCCTCAAACTGGCTTTGCTGCTGCAACAGAACTGAGCCTAGGAATTGGCTGTAAAGCATTAGAATTTGTTTTGCTCAATGCTCTCTAGGTTGAAGCAACATGTGTTGGTTTAGATTTCTTAAATTGGACGGGACATATGGGAAGTGCCATGGCTCAGTGGCAGAGCACATGTTTAAAAGCAGAAGTTCCCAGGTAAGATTGGAAACACCCCCTGCTTGAAACCCTGGGGAGATACTGTCAGCCTGTGCAAGCAATACTGAGCTAGATGGACCAATGGTTTGACATGGTATACCACAGAGTCCCAGGTTCCTAACCATGCGCACACTTGCTAGGGAGGAAGCTCCAAAGGATGGATGAATCCACACAGATACGTTACCCAGAGAGAGGATGGAGGTGAGGCAGCAAAGGACAGCACCTTGCTCAGCTGCCCTCTCTTTTGCTGGGCAGCAAGATGGGGCTCAGCAGGTCCAGTCCCAGAAGCCTTCTGTTGGAAGTAGGCAGTTGAGCAGTGAAGGATAAGAGGTAATTGAGCAGATGAGGGGGAAGACGGATGGAGCATCCACCTCCAATGGCTCTCGTTCACTCTGAGTGGCAGTGCTGGGCCCAATCCACCACCACCCAGGGAGAAAGCAAGCAAAGAAGCATCTGCCCCTTGTTTGCCCATTTTGGTGGCTGTGCAAATGCACTTGCCTTTCCTTCTCTCTGAGTCTGAGGAGAAGAGATTCTTTCCATCCCTGGCCACCACTGGAGGCAAAGATGTGGTGGGATGACCTAAGGCTCTTTGAGAAGCTTCTGCCAGTGGTTGGGATTAGACACACTGATAAGGTGCATTGGAACTCAGAACGCTTCCTAACGGTGAGTCAGTACTCTTCTACCTATATCAGTATTGTTGACACTGACTGGCAGCAGCTCTCCAGGGTTTGAGATGGAGGGGATGCAGCTCAGTGGTAGAACAGCTGCTTCAGAAGATTCCAGGTTCAGCTCCCAGCACCTCCAGGTAGGGATGGGAGACACTGGAGGGATGCTGCCACCAGTGTAGACTCTACAGAGTTTCCTCCTATGTCCGGAAGGAAAAGATTGCTCAGGGAAGGGGAGCTGGGAAGAAAAGTGAAACTGAGGGTTCTCTGGGCAGCGCTTGCCACCCCACCCCACTTTCAGTGCCAGTCCCTGAGGCCGTCTTTGGTCAAGCATGACACAGAGGCAGCCAGGGGCAGCTTCGGTGCGCCTCATAATGGGCCAAACTTGCACAGAGGGAAAAAGCAATTCTCACTTCACTGGCAGGCCATAACTCAGAGCCCCCAGGCACCCATCACCTGAGCCCCGCTCCCTCCGCAGGTTGGTTGGGGCTGATGAGAGTTGGAGCCCAGGAAACCCCTAGCGGGACACCTGGGCGCCCCGCAGCCTCCATTGCCCTTCGCCAGCTAGCCAACATCTCCGGCCGCCTTCCCTCCTTTCGCGTCTGGGACTGCCGCCTCTGCTCCCCCCCCCCTCCAGCACAGGTGTCAGCTATTGGGTGGGATATGCAAATGCGCCGGTGACGTCATGCAGCGCCGGTCCAGACAGCAGAAATAGGGCAGGAATTCAGCAAAGCAGCATTGGCACCTCTTCGCGCCTGGATTGCGACCGAAGCGGCTCCTCCTCCGGCTCCCTTCGTCTGTTTTTGTTCCGCTCCAGCTCGCTTTTCTCCCCTTCCCCTGCTGCCTATCCCTTCCCTCTCCCGCTCGCCGCCAGCCTTTCGCGATCTCCTCCCGCTTCGCCCTTCCAAACGTTCCTGCAGACTTCATCCCACCCCCACCCCATCCACCTTTCCTGGAGAAGATCTTGCTTGTTTCAAGAAAGCCCCCCAAACTCTGACGTCTCCTCTTCCAGTAGCTGTTGGCGCTGCTTCTGCGGCGCTCTGCATCCCGAGGCTCCGTCTGCCGCGCTTGGAAGACCGCTACAGGTAAGCCTTTGATCTCCTCGGCCAGGTGGACGAAGGATGGGCGAGCCGGCAGCCGAGCAGCCGTTTCCTTTCTTTTCCTCCCCAGGAGCCCCGATTCTCAACAAGGTTCATGGATCATCCAAGTGGGGGCGACTCCCCCAAAGGATCCCATGTTCCCTTCTGGGTTCTCTGCGGAGTCTCTAAAGAGCGAGCGAGAGTTTACACGCCGGTGAACTTCGTCGGCAGAGAAGCCGGCGGGGCGCGCAGTGATTCCTGCTCCCCGGTGCAGTATGAATGGTATTCGGGGTGGAGGCGGTGCGGTAACGTCAGGGCGGAGAAGGATTGCTGGGGAGGACGGGGCTGGTGCCATCCCCGGCACTTGCTGGAGGGAACTGTCCACCTCCGTGGTGCTGAATGGCTAGGAGAGAATTCAGCCCGGCGCGGAGAGCGCGGTGAATGGCCGTTCTGGGGCAGTTCACCTTTGCGAAATTCGCTTCTTCTCCAGACACCCCTTTTCTTGCCGGTGAGGGCTGATGGTTTCAAGTTTCCTCTATATCTGCCTTGCCTCAGTTGCAGCGGTTGCGAGTGTCGGATGGACCGAGAAAGATGCTCCGCAAATCCGACCGGGTTCGCTCTGTCCTCTTGGCCAGAGGACCTCGGGTTCCTCTTCCTTTCCAGTTCCGCTCTGCTCGTGACAGAGCTCGGGGAGTTGGGGATTTTTTTTGCGGGGGGGGGAGGCTTTCTTTTCTATATTCCTTAGTTCAGCGGTGTGAATACTTTTTCAGAGCTCAATACGCTAGAATCCAGTCTGTCCTGCAGTGGGGCAGAGAGCCATGTGAGAGATGCAGAACTCCTGGCCAAATCTTTTACAGTCCTTAACTTAAGAAAGAAATGGCACGAAGTCCCTCATTTGTTTTGCATGTTGCAAGCCATCTAGGGACTTATTCATATCAACACCTAGGTAAATTGTGCTGTGGACTTGTTGGCCCACTATAGAGAATGGCAAAGACATTCACAAATTAAAATATAATGGTGCATCAAATTGAAATACCCAAGTATCTTTCCCTGTCCTACAAACACACACACCACTTTTCTTCTTCACACTTCTATTTAAATTGCACACTAAGTGTACTACTTAACTTGAAGAAGTAGGTTGCAGTCCAATCCTATCAATGTTTACCAAGAAGTTTAGTCCCACTGGGTTCGATGGCGCTGACTCATAGTATGCAAGACTGCAGGCAGGCTCTTACAACTGGGGTACTAGGCAACCAACTATTTATTCATTTTTGTTTTTGCATAATCAAAAGTTTTGCAACACCTCCTCTCTATAGAAGCTGTGGAAATACAACTGTGTGTATTCTGCATAACCCAGTGGAGCATATGGAATAAATATTTGCAACCATCTTCAAAGACATGTAAAACTAAACATTTTGTGCTTTGCTAATCTTATCCTTTTTGCTGTAAAATAGAAACTGACTAAAGACGAAGCCTTGAGAGTTCTCTAAAATGGGAAGATAGTTGGATGTTTACACCACAGCTAGAAAAAGAAATTGGCAATATTGGAAAGATCAGGCTGTGGTGTAACAGTAGCCATGTAGTTAGACATTCACTGTATGCTGTTTCCAATAGCTTTATCACAACAGACTTACACTGAATCACACTGATGCAGAGACAAGCACTCTTAACATTATTTAAAACAAGTGATGTGTTAGAGACATGGCCATCTGTCATGGATGCTTTAGCTGAGATTCCTGCATTGCAGGGGGTTGGACTAGATGACCCTTGGGTCCCTTCCAACTCTAAGATTATATGATTCCATGACTGTCTTCCATGGAAAGGCACAGACAATCTACAAATGACTGATAGATCCTCTAGGATCCATTCATATAAATATTTACTTGGAGGGATGCTCCATGGGATCCAATAGGACAATGCTAGGTAAGTGGGCACAGGACTGCACACTGTATGCTTCTTATGCTTTAATTTAAGAGTACAGGATTTATATTCTCTGACAAGATGCTAAAATGCTCCAGAATATCTTCAGGATTTGTGTTTTGGTCCAGAAATAACTTGAAAAGTTTCAGAGGGAGGTTTCTTCTTATCCAACACTTCCTCTAATCCAATATTACACTTTCCTTTTATTTATGCTGAAATTCTAGCATTTTAAATACCTTGGGTCCTCATTTGTTAGTTGCTGTATGCTCGTGTCTTTATGGAAAATCCTGGCAGATATTTGATGCATTGTCCTTTAACGCACTGTAATATTATGGATCAGCCATCTGGTACTTCAACAAGGATACTGGTCTTTGTGTGGGGTAGCCCTCAACTGGGTTATATACAGCAGGGATGAGTTGTCCATGAGCTGTGGTTCTGAAATTCTGCCTTAGAGTTGCACTTGTGCTTTTTCTCCTTGTTTTGCCCCTAGGTGTCGCCTCTGCTGCTACACTGGATTTAAATCTCGAAAAAGAATGATCTGTTGTTTGTTTAAAAAAGGAAAGGAAAGGGGGAAAACAGGGAAAATCCAAAGTTCAGTAGGGCAGATAGTTGTCTTCTGATGTTCATGCTAGCTTCCTTCCCCTAGTGTCTTTTCCTGCATAGCCCTGAAAACCTAGGTATGCTTTGCCCTCAATAATTGCTGTGTCCTGGTTAAACAGCTAAATGTAATAGATTTTCCATGACATTCAGTAGAGGAAACTGATACTATTTCATTTCAGAGAAGTAGCATTCCTTGTTTTTTAATGCATACTTTGGAAGGATATATTCAACAATGATTATAGGTTACGGTTGACTGCATGTATTTAACCCATCATTCATAGACTCATGTCCATTTCTTCTTAATAGCGCTATCATTCATGTGAAATGGCATTCAGTTGAAAGTGAGCTTATGCTCTTAAAAGTACAAATCAGTGTTACTTTCTGAAATCATCTTTAAACTACTACTGTGCATTTTTACCTTTAAAAGTGCTCCGTTCACATATCTTGTCTGGGTGGCTAACAAACAAACAAACCATAAAAACAAAGAAGACTGAGAGCAGCAGCATAATTTGAATATCACATTAAAGCACCTGAGATAAAGAAAACATAAGCATCATGGCAGAATAAAACTAACCAGAAAGGCCTGGGAAAGGCCGGGGGGCAGGGAGATTTTCACACCAAAAGATATCAAGGTGGGTGTTAGGCAAACCTCTTTAGGGAAATCATTTCACAGGCAGGGTGCTACAATTGACAAGGCCCTCTTACTGATGATCATCCCCTCAATTCAGAGGGCAAGGTCACCCAGAGAAGGCACCCCCCCCCATAATTATCTCAATACTTAGGCAGGTATATGTTGTGCGGAGTGGTCCCTGAGTTACCCAAGTACTAAAGCATATTGTGCTTTTAAAGTAAGCACTAGCACTTTGAATTGTGCTCATAAATGAGCCAGCATTGTATTATTACCACCACTACTACTACTGTTGTTATTATTATTATTGGTGTGATATAGTCTTCTGGGACCAGTCTGCATGAACTCGGCACACAGCAGCTAGACTGCAAACTGAAGTTTCCAGGAAGTCTTCAAAGGAAGCTCCATGTATAACAAAATTGCCAAGATCTGTTTTAGAGTTTCCCAAGTGAATGGTTAGGGATGCAGGTGATGCTGTGGTCTAAACCACCGAGCCTAGGGTTTGCCGATCAGAAGGTCAGCAGTTCGAATCCCCGCGACGGGGTGAGCTCCCGTTGCTTGGTCCCTGCTCCTGCCAACCTAGCAGTTCAAAAGCACATCAAAGTGCAAGTAGATAAATAGGTACCGCTCTGGAAGGAAGGTAAATGGCATTTCCGTGCGCTGCTCTGGTTTGCCAGAAGTGGCTTAGTCATGCTGGCCGCATGACCTGGAAGCTGTACACTGGCTCCTTCGGCCAATAAAGTGAGATGAGCGCCGCAACCCCAGAGCCGTCCGTGACTGGACCTAACAGTCAGGGGTCCCTTTACCTTTAAGTGAATAGATAACTTGCCAGGCTATTTTAGACTATGTGGGGTTGCAACTAATGCATTTGCTGGTGGAAGGAACTACATTGTCATGGAGGCTAACTAAGTTTGCAGCAACAAAGTTTGATCAATCAGCATCCACACATTATGCAACTGATCTTTCAAGGGCACACAACCCTTTTAAAATCAAGATGAATGGCATTTCCTTGCTGTTTTGCAACATCCTTGATAGGCAGGGGCAGTGTATCTTGTTTCACCACTTGAGGCAAAATAGGAAGTGCCGCATTGCCTCTCCACTCCTGCCACTCCCACCACCACCTACCTGCTCCTGCCTCCACTGCCTGTTCTGCCGCTGCCACATGCCCCACTGCGTCCACTGCTGGCAGAGAAACAGAACCACAATCACACCAAGTTTGGGCAAGCTCTCACCCCAAATGGACTCAATCTTGCCCAAAATCAGCATTGATGGTGGCAGCACTTCTCTGCCAATGGCAAAGGTGATGATGTACCCATGGACATGCTGCCTGGGGAACTTCCGCCACCTACCCAATGACCAGGCTGGCTCTGTTGATAGATCTCAAAGCAGCACAGAAAAGTACCATGCCCTTTCACAGCTTTTCTCTTCTTTACTAAGTTGATACTCATACAATCTTTAAATCTTTACTTTTCTGTTCCATGTATTGAGTTTGAAATGCCTCAAATTCTGTTTTCATTATAAGAATATCTGGCGGTCTACTCCACTAACCTTGTGGCCTATAATGTTGAGAAAACTTTTTTATAGTATTTTAGCTTTCATAATTTTTTAACTACTAATTTCTTCCACAACTCTGTAAGCAGCTCTTGCCAATAATAGCTGATAATTTTCTAGCAATTTCAAATCATGAAATGGTTCAAGCACAGCTCTGATTACAATAGACATTATGTCTTCTGCCCCAAATGTTCAACAGAAAGTCCCAATCAGACGGAACTGCAAGTTCCATTAAGTACAAGTGCGTCTGCTTGAGCTTTTAACATGAATTCACTCAATTTTATCTCATGAATTCACACCAAATATA